ATTTTTGGGTTGTAGGAAGAGATCATCGGTACAGAATGCATCATGGCTCCGGTTTCGGGTGAGACCGTTTCCCGGATTACTTCCGGCCAACTTTTTCTTCAAAACGCAATCTCATGCCACAACATCCCACCGACTACCTCTTTAATTAAAGCCCACTTTTGACACGTTTCCTCCCCTCCAGTTGGTACCTGCAATGAACCGTGATTGGTCCGTCCTGACCGAACTGATCCTTCGTCTTGTGCACTTGTCCGATCAGATCTATGAAATTGTCTCCGTTCCTCGGCACAATTTGATCCGGCCACTTTGTGAACTGGAACTGGCGCACTGTACGCGATTCGCCGTCCCTGGCGTCGGTCACCTTGAACTCGCGCAGGATGTAACCGGCCATCGTGTACTCGGCGACGGGGTCGATCACGAAGAATTGGTAGCGCGCCGGCCTCTCTGTCGGCCAGTACGGATAGCACATCTCCTGCAAGTGGGACACACGAAGGGGGTGAAAGTGATTTGGTGGAAAATGTGTGAAACAACCACTTTAAGACAAAAATACTACTACTCATACTACTCATATTCATACTATCTCCACTATTACTTTCGCCGCCGCTACTACTTATACTATAATAATTATAATAACCATTATCAGTATTGTTTTACAAAAATTGTCTTGCATGTATCTAACCGACAATTTGGGGGTCAGTGTTGCTCAAGTCGAGATGGGAGCTAAGCAAAATCGCATCGCAAGTTCTTTCGTCTGCTCATAAGACTTGCCATCAAAGCGAAAATAGAAGATGTCCGTGGATGAGCGAAGAAGTCTGAGAATGGAGGCTTGTACTAGAGCCTAAACGGCTCCTTGAACAGGAATATTTGTGTTCATAGACACATCATAAAAATTTATAAGCCGATCCTCGTCTGAAAGTACCTACTGATCCATCCATTTCACAAATTCATAACAACTTTTAATTGAATATAGCCGAAAATGCGCATCCTTCCGTTGTTGTATGCATAAAAAACGCGATATTTTATGCATTACGCTTCCTGTATCATTTACAATTGATCCTCATTCTCTATTTCACCATCACTTTCCGTCGGATCCTTCAACAAATGCATATACCAACTAGCATTTTCTGTACACAAATTGACCCATCCATGACTACCACTGCTCCAGCGAATATTTGGTCAAAGTGAGGAATGACTTCCAACTCAAAACTGTTCTTTACCTCTTCAGGCAATCCATCAAATAAGCAAATTAATTCAACCTTTGGCAGAGCAACAAAAGTTGCACACTATCCTCCAGAATTGTAGTGGATTATTTGATAATTTGTGTGTCAGGAATGTCTCCCAACTCATCTGCCGTGTACCTCGGAAAGGGATTTTCTAAGTCTGGTTTTGGTGACAATTAGTTCGTGTTGCCGATTAATGCCTACTTTTAACCGAACCACACGATACCTGATCAAGATCCCTGTTATTCGATTTCGGTAGATTACAAATCTATTCACTCGCCGGTACAACGGGACTCAGCCGTCTTCTTCTCGTCACATCGAACTACGAATCTCTTCTTTATGCACTTTGATACGAAATGAAAGTCCTCCCAACAATGTTGTCTCATGAGATTCATCGAAATCCACATAAATCGTGATTTTTTATAATTCATTTCGGTAGATCGACACGTCTACCAAGTAACCAACTTCAAGGAACAATATAGAAAAAAAAACACAATCAAAAAATCTAATTCTATCAACTTGCCGGACTATCGTTTTCTTGCGTGTTAGCAGACAAAGTTTTGTTTCCCATACCAATCGACTACATTACATATTGTTCGTCTATAATCATATACGCTGCATTGTCGAGGCGCTAGTTCGAGTCCCGCTTTGGGTGCTGATGAGGCCAGTTGAGGCCTCTGCTGCCCGGATGAGGATACCTTCGGGGTCTACTTGTAGCATTTTGGGGAAATTTAACCACCACGCCTCCTAAAGCACCTTTTGCTCACAATAATCTACAGATTAAGAGATTGGCACCAACTAAATGGCTATTTTTCACGGCCAGACACGGAAGTTGGCGAAAGTCGTCGCAGAGTCGCACAAAGTACCTTCCAGTTGGCAGCCACGACCTACCTTGCCCGCTTCATGGAGACGGCATATCATGACGATGATGCAGGATTTGTGCTCCCACACCATCCGCCAGAAGTCTTCAACGGTGCTCGTCATGGGCGCCTGCGTGCCGATGTACGCTTGTCGGGTTCGGTATCCGTCGATGAAACTCGCGTTGATATAGTCCGAACCTTCCACGCCGCGGATGGGCGTCAGGCGGACTCTGTTCCCGTCGAAGGGCAGGATGTTGGCCAGTCTGTTCTTGGCCTGGTTGATCTGGCGACAAAGAAACGGGAAAATGTCGGCAAATCTGTCAACGGATACGA